CTTTACATCTGTTTGGTTTAGAGTGGCATTTTTTCGGGTTGTGGAATGACTTTCCAAAGTGAGGATGTCTGGCATTTTGTGAGTGCCAGACGTTTTCTGAGACAGAGTAGAGAGCTATGTACCTTGCCTTACTAATTAAGCATGCTTTTTCTTGCTTGCAAAACACTTACTGTGGCATCTGCTGGATTGATTTAGAAATAATGTGTCGCTAATGTCAGATATCCAAAATGCTTCTGCTACACACATTGTTCTCTTTTAAAATTTTGTGTCAGCGTTTAGCAGGTACATTCTTTTCGTCTTACTTTCATGCTTGTGTTTCTTTTCTTAAAGTTGTATTGCTTTTCTTAAGTTATAAACAGTTCTTTTCTTTTTGCTTTTGGCATCCTATATATTCTTTCCAACCCTTTCCCCTATCTACTTTTTGTGTCCTTGCTCCATGCTTATCTTTAAACAAGCTTTCAGAGTGGAGCATGTGACGAGAACAGCCTTCCACTGCTTGTCATCTAAAGTTTATTCTCCTTCAAATATCTTTCAAAAATCCCCCTTCCTTTCCTTCTCTTTTCTTTCTTCTGGACCTCTTTCTTTCTGAAGCAGAATGTTTCTCTAGTAATGGTGCCAAATACAAAAATTTGTATGTTTGAGGGATTTTTATATTCCTTTACTGTCTTGAATGTCAGCATACCTAATGCCCTGTGTTAGAGAACTTTATCAATTCAAGAAAACTCTTGGTCGGTTATACCAGCCATTTTTGATGTAGCTCATTGCGCTTACTGTTCATCACCCTCTGTAGTTAACTGGTACAGAATTATCTTCTGTTGGAGTTCTGTGAAGTGTCAGTTTCTGTTTGACATGAATCAGGGTCTGGGTCTGGTTTCACAAGTGGAGCAATACAACTGCAAAGGTAGGTTCCTCACCTCCAGTAGTGGAATTGGTAATGCCCTTTCTGCCTGTTCCAACAGTTGTCATTTCGCTTGGCATCAAAGAACAAGGAGACTTCATGTATTCAGCGCAAAGTTGGTTCTAAGATTAGGAATGTCTGATGCTTGTGCTGAAATTCACCACTTCCCGGACAATCATTGATTCCCTATCAAACAATTTACCAGTTCCAAATTTAATCTGACTAGTTTGTTCCATGTCTTAAAGCTTTTTGTTTCTTATTTCAGTAATTTTCGTGGCCTATTACCTGAATTGTTAATGTTTTATTGTCTTGCCATCACCTGCTTCTCCAGGTCAGAATATTAGAGGTAGGAAGGGTTGTGGTGAGTCATGTAGCCCCCGGAAAGGCTCAATTAAAGGTAGACTTGAATGACCTAGATATAAGCCCTTGTGTTACAGAGACGTTGCAACCTTCCCATGTGACTTATTTTGTTTTTTGATTACTCCTTTCCATAAGAAAGGAGGTTTTGTGTGTTTTTCCAATATCCAAAATAAGTTTTCCTAGCTGCAACTTAAGCCTACTTCTGTTCTTCTTTGTCCTTCAGATTACCCCTTTTCTCAGTGGAACAGTTTATTTATCGGAAGCTGTGCTGGTATATCCCAAGTTTCCTCTCCTCTAGGCTAGATGACCCTAATTTGTTTGCGCTTTGCTTTTTACATTATTTAGCCTTGCATTATATGTTTTCAGGATCTCTTGTGGCTCCTGTTACACTCCTGGATGCTGTCCGGTTGGTTCACAGTACTTCACCTGTGGCTCCTGCTCCTCCTCCAGCCTCCTTAGTACTGAAGGTCTTTTTCTTAGTGGGGTGACATTACTGACTCACATTCAGCCTGTCATCAGCTGTAGCCTTTTGATCTTTTTCTACAAAACTCCTATGCGGGCTTTTATTCTCTTTTTGTAGATGCTACAAATTCTGTAGATTGTGTCTAACTGCTCTGTCTTTCAGTCTTCTGTGCAGTGGTTGGTGAAGATCATTTTTTTATTTTGTCTTGTTGTTTGGTGGTGTTGCAGATGAGGTGGTGTCATCTGCAAATGTAACACCTGTATGCCCCTTCCCTTCGCAGAAGCAGTTGATGAAAATACTGACCCTTAGACCCGAAACAGGGCATTGGTTCCAAGGGACCTCACTCAGATTTTCTGTTTTGGTGGGGAATGTATTGATAAGTATTTAGACTAGATATTAGAAAGAAGTTTTTTACTGTGCAGGTGGTGAGGCAGTGGCCCAGGTTGCCCAGAGAAGCTGTGGATGCCCCATCCCTGGAGGTGTTCAAGGCCAGGCTGGATGAGGCTTTGAGCAACCTGGGCAAGTGGGAGGAGTCCCTGCCCCTGGCAGGGGGGTTGGAACTTGATGATCTCTAAGGTCCCTTCCAGCCCAAACCATTCTATGATTCTATAATTTTTCAGCACAAAGTTGATAATTTTACAGAACTACAGTTAATAAAATAGTCTTTCTTGATAATCTTTTTTTATTTTGTGTTTTAGGGTTTTGACCCACCGCATCAAAGCGATACAAGAACTATTTACATAGCAAATCGTTTTCCCCAGCATGGCCATTATATTCCTCAGAAGTTTGCAGACAACAGAATCATATCATCCAAAGTAAGGGATCAATTTGTCATGGGAAAACCATTTGATATGTTACTTAAGAAGTTGGGTAGCAGATGTGCATGTGTATATTATGTCTAATGTTGCATATACAATATTCAAAAAGAAACAAGCTCTAAACTTTCTTGAGGAAAAAGCTACATTGCTTTTTATATAGTTTTTTCTCCTGCTGTCTCTCCTCTTTCTGTGGAACCTGACTAAGTACAGAAAAATTCAGCATATTGGTCAGAATTTCTGAAGAAAAGTGGGTTTTAAGCCAGTGATGCCCATGTCTGGATGTGATGCACAGAACCACTTAAAAGGATGAAGTTTGTTGTGAAGATTTATAAAATAGCTGATTGTCAGCTAGTACTGTGCATAAATTAAATCAGCAGTGGACTGCAATTGCAGATTCCCTCCTAGCGCGAGCTTGGATTGTTATCAGCAGAACTGATGGTGGGGATATGGCTTGTTGCTGTAGTGCAGGAGAGAAAGTTACAGCTGCAAGAATTAATTTCTCCTCTGCTACCCAGGATGCAAGCAGTCAAATGACGCCAGCTGCTCATATCCCAGTTGGTAGGAGAACATTTCAAACTTTGACTATAAAGGCAATGAAGTTGCCACCTGTGCTTCCTGGCTAGCTACACCTGGGGGAAGAAAAAAATAGGATACAGCAGTTCTGTGTGGGACTAAGGCAAGACCAGAAGAAGGCTTGGGGGAGAGGAGATAGAAAATGAAAATATTTAGCTTAAGAGAGTTCAATGGGAGCAGAACTGAATTTCACTGAAAAATTGTTCAGTATGTCATAACTGTTCTTTTCTGTCTCCCTTTTTTCCCTTCAGTATACGGTGTGGAATTTTGTTCCAAAAAACTTATTTGAGCAGTTCAGAAGAGTAGCCAACTTTTATTTTCTGATTATATTTTTGGTTCAGGTAAGTTGAATCATACTCAGGAAATGGCAATTTTATGTTTTAAATTCTGCCACTGATTGTTTTATTCTGTGAATTCAGATTTTCTACTTACATATTCTGTCTATAAAACAACACATTTCCAGCTTCTCTGGAAAATAACATAACTTTAAAAATAATTGTGTTCAAATTTAAGTACTGTCCTTAGCTTTTATCTTCATGAATGCCAATATATTTAAGTGTCCATAGCACTGCCAGCACAGGGACTCAATTGTGTGCCTCAAAATACAATTTAAAATCTGTTAAGTTAGTAATAAAATTACAAATATGCTTTTTGATTTTTGTGGCCATTGGTGGTTGAATAAACCAGGAGTTTTACTCTGTGTGTTTATAAGTGCTTCTTGGACATTAGCGTGCAGAAATGCAGGTGTTCCAGTTCCCTTGCATCAAATTGGGCAGTATGCTGTGCGTAGATTATTGTATGTTCTTGTTACAGGTGGAATCTTGCTTTTGTAAATCAACACACTATTGTCACAGAGTTCCAAGATCCTCAAATTCAATTTGTTCAGATAAAATGAACCCATAAAATTTTACAGCTAGCATTGACAGTTTGTCAGTTTTGAAGATATCAGTTCGTGTTGATATAGTATAGGTCAGAAGTATTACGGTGGCTTTTGTAGTGGAGTATATTTTTTCTAATTAAAAACATCCACAGGTATATTGGAAGTATGACAGTCTGTAAATTTTGTGTGATCTTTGCACCTCCAACTCTGTAATTGTACTTGAATTCTGTTGAGCTATTGCAGATTTAGTAGATGAAAGATAAGTGAGAGAAAGGTTGTAAGGAGAGATAATAACTTTTGAAAGACCAATTAATATCTGAGAGTCAAGATTTTGGGGTACACAAACTTTTCTTTTGTTATAAAATAGACTGCTTTGGACAGGTACAGCCCTCCACAGTGATTAACCAACATTTGCAGTACATACAGAAAAAGATGGTACCTCATTTGACAGAAAACAGGAATAGTGAAGAGTTCATGAGATTTGTCTCTGATTGTACAATGTGTCAGTAGCAGGGCCACTTCTGCAGTTTTTAATCCCTTGCCTCCTATGTCCCGTACTCTTGTTCTTTCATGTTTAGAAAGAATTAACTTTCCAATAGGCTGAAAATTCCTGTGTTGGGAATCATATAGTTCTAACAGAATGTGTTGCCCATCCCATCTTCCTAGTTAAGAATCTTGACTTTGTCATTCCTGTTATGGTGTTTCATGCTGTTTAACATGTTTTAGCATGAGGAAGATGGGGGCATGCTGGAGACGGAATGTAAATATTACTTAGAGTAACCACAGGTGGTGTACCATTTTTAAAGCTTTTATTTCTTTTTAATGCAAATTTACCTCTAGTTCAATTTTGAGTCACATTCTTTTCAAACTGTTAAGACTTTGGTAATATCTGAATGTGATGTCCATGAACAAATATGGATGTAAAAGCAGAACTTCAGAGTGTAATTCTGTTTTCTTCTCAGTTTGTGACTCAAGTGGATATCTTAATTTGTATGGGACATGTCTTGTCTACATGTTTGTGTTCTGGGAAACCAATCCGGAGAAAAGCTACAGTCATTTTTGTTCATTTGTTAGAATTTAATTCTGTTCTTATTCAAATCCCATTTGGCAGTTCATCAATAGCTAATATTTTTCTTTTAAAAGAAAAGTTGATCACCATGGTGTCTTCTCTGTCATAGGAATCTCAAGTGACCAAGATGCAGTGTATGTCATTGCCACCTTGTTCCATTGGGATTGACAGAGCAGGGGCAAGTTCTCAATGTGTAATTTAAACATGCAGCACAACCCAGTCCATGTTGTTCACCTCACATATGCATGCCAGAATCATGGTGACTGACTGCATTTTGGTCACGTGAGGCTCCACACCAGCTGTGTGATGGATGGGTGTCCAGCAGTGTGACAGGCAAGGGGTCATAGTGTTCTGGTGAAAGAGGCAAAAGGAGCAGGCTGCTATGACAGTTCCACTGGCACAAGCTTGCTCCTTTTTCACATACGAGTCTCTTTTGAGAAAGAAGGAGAGAGTGTAGATGGCAGAAATGTCACAGTTAGCCCCATCCAGCCAGTAATCAGATGCTTTTGTAATACGTTTTCTTGGACAACATGCTACCAAGCTGAAATTGCAATGCTACCATTGAAGAACTGACTATTGCAGGCTAGATCTGATTTTTGTCATGTTCTATAACTTGTTTCTGTTTAAGTGGAAAAAAAAACACATGCATGTATTGTAAGGTGGCTTAATCTGTTTTCTCTCTGAGGTTCGTGGCCCTCAACAGAGTAAACTTCATATATATATTTTTTTTTTCTTTAATGGTTCCCAAAGCAATGCCATAAGTCTCAGGTAAAGTGAACCAAATCAATGTCCGTGGTTTTGAATGGTTCTTGTGTGTATTTTCTTTACAACACTTGACCATGTTGGTTTTTTTCCTGCTGCAGAAGAGAACCACTGACGTTCCTCCCACATTCAGAATTTGAGTGTATACACTGCACTTCTGGCATGCCAGCAATGATAGCACAAATTGTAAAAACTGCATGTTAACTTGGGGGAACCGGGAACCAGAGAGGAGCAGTCTAAGAAAGAGTGTTCTCTAATATCTAAACAGTTGGAAATTACTATTTTTAACTTTATTTTCACTTCTGAAGTTGATACTCTGCATTGCTGTTAAGCAGTAGATTCTGCAGAGTATTGAAACAGCTTCACAAAATGTAGATTTCCTTCCTTTGTAATATACTTTTGAATTCATCTTTGTAGGATGAAAACGTACCTTTCTTTTACTAAGGACTCTTCAGATTGGCACGTGCATTGCAAATGTGATTAAGTCTGTTCCATGCCCTAGAATGTTTGCATCATTACTGACATGTATTATTTAGGTGTCAGGAGCTGAGTTTTGCTCCAGAAATACTGCAGAAACTGCAGTAAGAATAGTAACAGGTTATAATGAGGAGTTTGGAAAATAGTCGTCATCTTGCTTCATTTTTATTTTTTGGAAAGTACAATTGTAGACATACATAATTGGGGCTAATTTTAATATTTTCTTCTCTTTTAGCTCATGATAGATACCCCTACCAGTCCTATTACCAGTGGATTGCCATTGTTCTTTGTCATAACTGTGACAGCCATAAAGCAGGTAAAGGGGAAAAATCTTATAGCGTGAAGTCTTTCTAAGGTAAAGTTACTTAACAAAGTCTGACCAAGATAACGTTTAGATACTAAAATAAGGAAAGTGAAATTTTTAGAAAGGATTGTGTATTTCTTATTAGATTCTTGAACTTGAGCATTTTGGTTAGTTGCCAAGTGCTCAGTGACTCACTGTGGTACCCTTAAATGGACAGTGAATGACTGTCAGACAGCATTTTTATCTAAACGTTACATGTCAGTGTTTATAAGACCTTTTCTGAAAGCTCTTCACTTATTCCTTTGGCACACCTCGCTGCATATTAAAGCCAATCCTCCTACATGACATACTGAGGAAGGAGCTTGGGTAGATGAAGCAATGGTGCAAACCATGTTTGTCAGTAGTTAAAAGGCAAATTTTGCCCCAGGGAGTATGTTTCATGGTGTAAAATATATATTAAATGTAATCCTGTACCGGGTAAAAGGTCCAGTTTAGAAAGCACCTAGTTTTGTTTTCTTTGTCTTTGGTTATGTAAAACATTTTGGAGTGCTTTATAGCACGTGAAATAAGAAAAATCTTCCAAGGATGAGTTTAACAGAAATCTTGTTCAAGCACCATACTACATCCTACTAAGACCTAGAGTCCCTGGAAGGAGAATGTTAAGAAGGAGAGGAAAAAAAAAAAGGGAACGAAAAAATCTTCCGTTTTCTTTAAACACTTAAAGCAAGAGGAGAAAGAAACAAGCACATAAATCAAGAGGTGATGTGGATAGAAACTATAATCTCTTCGGCAGGGAGGTAATTTTCAGGAACTGTCCTCTTCAAAGGGTTTGACAGTGCTGTCTGGGGAAGAGATGCAGTCATGGCACGAAGACTGTTGCGGAACTACAACTGGAATTTCAACTTGCCTTCTGTGCCAGTAAGACCCAAAGGTGCCCTGAAGTAGGCAAAAAGTAGAAATAGCTCTAGCTTCCAAGCTGATAGAATGGTGTTTGGGGCAGAGGGGATCTTAATGCTGGAGTAATATTTGAACTAACAGTTCGTCTTATTGCTGTGCAATTTATATATGTAGAGTGCCCTAATCCTATTCAGTTGCAGCTGTTACAATCACCCCCAAAAAATCAGATGTTCAAGAGCTATAGTCCTAAGTAGGCAATGTAGCATATCCCTTAAAGCTGCGTGCAAATTTGTTACAAATATTAGATTTTTTTTTTTTCCAGAAAGAAGCTGGACTTGTATAAATCTAAAATAGTCCAAAATAATCTATTGCCATCTTGTTTCCAGATGTCCAGTCTTAAATGGGGAATTTAAGTGTCCCACTGTCAATTGCAAAGAACAGATATTCTGGCATTCCTTCTGGAAGTTTCAAATCATTCATGACTTCCCAGGCATCAACAGTTTTTCTGTTTGTCTCAATACCTCTGGAAGGACTAATGGAACCACCTAAACTGATCTAATGGGCTCTCATGCTTGTCCTACTTACTGCAAAGTAGGCAAACAGTATTCGCAAGCTGTTATCTTGGAAAGGCACTTCAGTGTGATATTTCCAACAGGCTGCCCTTGGGCGAGGAAGATGGATAAATCTTTTGTTGGAATGCAGAGGGGAAAATACCCAGCTCCCATTTTCCCTCAAACCAGAAGTGGAATAGGAAGCAGCTCTTAGGGGAAGAAACACCTTTTGAAAGCTTTAGGACAGTGGTTCTGTACAACGTTATGTCAGGATAATTGTCAAACTATGGTTTAGTAGTCTGTCAAAAGATGAAAAGGGAAAAATAGAAGCATTAACTGTATGTGGGTTTGAGAAGTTTAGCAGTAGATGGAAAAAACTCTCCCCTGCTTCCAGAAGGCCAGTTAACATGGCAAAGCTCAAAACTCAGCCTTATTTTAATCTCAGCCAAGGAGATAGAACTTTTTCTTCTTAGAAGTGTAATTGCACCTAGGTCAGAAGAAGGACGTACAAGACTGCAAAGTGATGCGACTCATGCTGTGTCATTTTGTCTGTCTTGTTAGCCAGAGGGCTTTCCTCCTTATGCCTGTGAAGATATGTATGCAGTCCTCAGAGGAGTCCAAAATTAGAAAATAAATAATAATAAAAAAAATTAAAGTTAAAAAAAAGAGCCCAAAATACAACAAAATAAATATATTTCCTAAAGAACCTTAGGAAATTTAGTCCATTTCAAGAAGTTCGTAGGTATTTAGCAAACAAGCTGTTTAGACACAGGTTTATTTGACTGTCAGGTGAATTCGAAGCAACTACTTTGTAGGCTTTGGTTAGCTATAGACCTAAACTGAGAATGAAAAGACTGGTAATATAATACACAGGCCTGTTTTATTTTTGTCCATTTCTCAAGTATGTTGATGCAGTTATTTAAGCAGGACTTAATAATATAATTTAATTGAGGGATTTTAATCTTTAGTTTCTCTTCAGGCCATTAAGCAACATTCCCTGTATTCCTATTGCATCTTTCTTTTTAACAATATTTCCAAGTGAGGGTAAGTATCTCTCTTAAAAATGCCGCAGTAGGTAAATTCTGGGGGAATTTAAACTGACCGCAGTAAATTGGCCCTTAAGAATTCCCTGGTGTGAGGTGTCAGCCTTGTGTTGTAGGCAATAGGTATCAGATGGAGAAAGCGCTGAAATCTGTACTTTCTAAAGAAGGTAAATTTCAGTTCTTTGCCAAATGCCCATATTGCTCAGCTGTTCAGGTTTAGGAGACAAATGCCCCAAGGTTACTGGATGTTAGTTAAATCCTTGTTTTCTTCTGTCAGTCACCTTTAACAAGGAGCTGTAGGTACTGGCTCTTGCTTTTTCCATACTGATTAGGAAGGACTCTTATGGAGTCTTACTTAGGGGTTATAGGATTCTGTCTTCCTGGTATCTCTCTGTGTGGCTGCTATTACTACACACTTAACTATGTATTTTTAAGCAGTTGGCGTATAAATCTTCCCCCTTTTAAAAAGAAAAACCCAAACCAATGTAGGTGGTGCAGTTGTGCTGTCCTTACTAGTAATGGGTGAGGTGCATGAAGGTAGAACTGCAAAACTATACTTTTAACCTGCTAAATTCATCGTATAACTTTCTTCCAAATTCCAGTCAACTGCAAAATTCTCCAAACCGCATCTGCATTAGTACTCTTTAGATTATGACCTTCATGTATAATGTTTGTAGCGTTCTAGGATGAGTTGGGATTATGCCTTCTGTTTCAGAGGGCCCCGTTCTTCTGTCTTCAAACTTCCAAGGAAGTGATTTTAACTCTCACATTTTTTGTACCTACAGGAAAGCATTTTTAGAATTGTCTCTGTTTCTGCGAATCACTTGTAGGAGGCTTGCCAGAATCTAAGCGGCAGTTGAACTTCCTGCATAAACTGATCTATTTCTTGTGTTCCTTCATAGGGCTTTCCAAACAGTACCTAGACTTGCGGATCAGAGATCATGCTGTTGACAATCATGCTGTTAGAATCAATAAGCAATCTAGTCATAGTTCTCATGAATGTTTGCACGTGTGTGTCTATGGGATAAAGGGTGCTTTAAAAAGTGACGAATGCTGGGTAAAGGAAAACTGCTTGATTTATCCATTAAAAGCTCAGTTTCTGTGAAGTGTTGTGTTAGGACTCACAAAGAACTAAAACCTCAGTCATCTTCTCTTGCTGTATGGAGCTGATGTGTGAACAGCATATTGTACAAAATTAAGAAATCTTAAGATTTTATGTGTAGGCTATAGCACTAACTGAAAGTGCTATATGGTATGATATGAGGAAGTAATTTCAGTCTGTTACTTCTCTTAAAAAAAATAAAATGTAATCCATAGAGACTGGCAGTGACTGTTTTGTGGCATATTAATCCATATAGATAAAAGATGGAATGAGTGCTTGTTCATCTAGTCTGCAGAAGATGTCACTGCCTGTTTGTTTTAACAGAACATAGGACTGTTAAGTTTCCTCACCACTTTTGCTACTTTATTTGCCTTGACTTATTTGAGTAAAGTGAGTGAAAATCAAGAGGTTTCCCAGGTTCTTGAGCAACAGCTGTAGTAGAAACTCAAGAGAACTTAGTAGCTGAATTCAGGCTATGCAGCAAATAATTTGAAGCATTTTTGTTTAGAAGATACTTGTTATGCTTTATATATTTCTTGCTTAAAAAGTAAATTTGTATGTGTTTTCCACAGGGCTATGAAGACTGGCTACGGCATAAAGCAGACAATGAAGTAAACGGTGCTCCGGTTTATGTTGTTCGAAGTGGTGGCCTTGTAAAAACTAGATCTAAAAACATTCGGGTATGTGCCTAAGGACAATTGAAAATTGTGTTTCTATTGCATAGCTAAAGCTCTTGTTTAATTACTAATCATTGTGGCCTGTTTCTTCATGATTTAGTAACAATGCTGAAATTAATTCTTTTTTAAAACTCTATTTGCACATTTCACATTTGTGTTCACTTTATTAGGTGGGAGACATTGTCAGAGTAGCCAAAGATGAGACTTTTCCTGACTGTCATCCGATCGAGTTGACGGTTCATGCCATGTTACTACTGCAAGTTTGGATGGAGAGACCAATCTTAAGGTCTGTGTAACTGCTATAAAATAGAGGGTAGTTAATTTGTGATGCCATTTTTCTTTCAGCCTGTTAAAATACCTACCTCTGCCTGGTAGTCCATATCATGAACTTAATGGACACTGTTTTACAGACACACGTTGCAGTCCCGGAAACAGCAGTGTTACAGTCTGTTGCCAACCTGGACAAACTTGTAGCTGTTATAGAATGTCAGCAGCCAGAAGCAGATCTGTACAGGTATCACATTATGAGTAAATATTTTGAAGTTAAATCAAAAGGAATTGTTTAGTATTACGAAAGGTATGGATCTTGGTGGGATTAAAATAGCTTCAGATGTCTGTGTAAATTTTAGGTTTTAATAATTAGCATAAGTATTTATACATATGTTCTTATTGAAAGTTGCAAGTGACAAGTTAGATTTGAGTATTTCAGGAGTAAATCAGAAATTATAGGATAATATTTACCTTTTGTGTTTTAATCATGACACTTATGTACATTTCTGTTCTAACCAGTAAACTTATTTCCAAGTTTAAAAAAAAATAAATGGCATATGTGTCTGAGCAGGTTGGAGAAGGAGTTGTATATGGCTCTGCCAGGAGATTTCCATGCTATGTAGTATTTTTTTTAATGGAATTAACTCAAACTGTAGCAAATTGTTGTAAGCTTACGTTAATTCTAAGGCTATGTGGTGGTCACATCTATTTTGCTTATGCTCAAGAGAAGGTTTGTACTCCAGCCTTCAGCAGCAGAAGATTAGATTACAAACAGTTACGTAGATTTTTCTAACATATGTCCATCTCTCATAGATTTGTTGGAAGAATAACTATAAGTCAGCAAACAGAAGAAATTGTACGGTAAGTAAAATTTTATAAGATAAATGTTTAGAACTGATGGAGGTGGTTAAAACAATGACCATCTCAAAAAAGAGTTGCTGTTGAGTATATGAAATGGAGGGGTATTTATACTGAAAGTTTCAATTGTAGCTGCATACTTCAGGTGGAGATAAGAAAAAAATAGTGAAAGTTCATTACTACCCAGTTTTTCAGATTCATTGGAACAGTTCTGGAAAGCTGGGCTGTTCTGAAGGGGATAACTTTTAGGCACTGGTAATCAGCTGGAACATTGTTGCTGTATATTATTTAAAACAGTTATTGATCTTAAACATTTTCCAGTGGTATATTATGTAGACTACAACAAATCCCGTCATCTGTTTATCAGAGGCACGAGGCAGGTGTTTTTGCAGTTGAAATTCCTAGAAATTACTGGTCTCTTAACAAAGCCTCTGCTACAGATTTGTAGCTTTTAGTATACATTTGAAACTACTGTACTACCTGGCCTGTAAAGGTAGGTGCTTGCATCTGTAATAGTCAACACATAATTGTGTGCCCATGTGCATGTAATAATAAGTTCACGACCTTTCCCTGTGCAGTCATAGCAAGTAGCATACACCTAAACATGTTAAAATATAAAAATAAAGATGTGAAGCCACTTACAGACCTATATGTGGACTTCCTCAAAAGACTGTTAATTGTGGTGTCTTGGCACCAGCCAGTAGAAAGCATCCACACAGCTGCTCACTCCGTTCTACCCACCACAACAGGACAGGAGACAAAATGGTAAGAACAGGAGTGAGAAAGGTCATGGTTTGAAGTAGAGAGACAGGGAAATCGCTCAAAAGAACTGGCCAGCTTTTCAGCAGTATTTATCGTGCATTTTATTTCATTGTTTTCTCTTGAGAGTTGTTGATAAGCTTTCCAAAAACTTGGTAACCTCTTTTTAAAATGGGAAGTGCTATGTTATGATGTATAAACATGTAATGGAAACAGGTAAATCTGTTACGATTCTTTCACTCTTCTAATGTCCTAAGTGTTATCCTTCACACATTTTTTTTTTTTTAAGTGAAATTTCTACCTGAATCAAATATTAAAGCAGTATTTCCATGTAGTGTATGCCTTCAGTCTGAAGAACTGAAAGTCTTCAGTCCGAGAGCCTCCTATGAGGCTGGCAAACATCTGTCAATTTTAGATAGGAGTAACATGGAGTTCAGAGTGAATCAATGATTTGTCAATGGTTTTGCAAGAAACGTGGGAGTGTGGAAGGCAGATCACTTGGCCGCAAGTCGGATGGCTTAGCCACCCCCACAAAACACCTCCCTCCAACCCACTCAGCTGCTTTCTAAGGTCGCTATAGGTGCTGCTTCACTTAGAACTTTTCAGAATTCATTACTGCCAAGCTTGACAGGTTCAGCTTTGGGATAATCTATCAAAATAATTTAGTTGACAACATATAACGTATCCAGTTTAAAGGGAATGTGAAAAATAATTGCAAGTTCTGACTAATGGAGGTGTATCTTCTGACTGTCAAACTTGTCTGTGTTGCAGTGGTTCGGATTTTGTATTTTGGGTTTGTCAGACTGATTTTGCAAACTGCAAAAAACACCAGAATCCGGAAACCATTAGGTTTCTTATAAGAAAAGGTTAAACGCATGAGCGCTTAGTCCCTTTTAGTTCAATTTTTCAGTGAAAGTTGAGTCTAGCCTAAAATACTAACTTAAGTATGTATAATTTAGTGATCCTATCATAATCCCCGTGTGTGACTGGTACACATAGTATTTGTGATGGTAACTCACATTTGCAGTAACATCTAGGTTAAATGTTGAATGGTGGAAGGTGGGTTGGGGGTTGTGCGGGTTTGAGGGGAGTTTTTTTTAGTAACTCCAACTTATTCTTTCAAAGGAACTTTAAGAGCTTTTTTTATATAATAGTGATCGTGGACTGCTAGTGGTACAGCTAATGGAAAAGTAAGGCAAACCCAAGGGTTTCTATGCCATAGCACTTCATATATGATCTTTAATTCTTTTGCTTATACCCAGTATGTCAACCTAGCCACTGCAGTTGTTCAACTTCTGCTTTAATTTGAAACACTGGCAAAAATAGTGAATGTACTTTTTAAATTTATTTCAAACCAACTGTGCTGGCGGTTTGTAAAGATAAAGCAGCTGCTAGAGTAGAACATATGGCTCTGACCTTATATGAACCTTGGTTCTAACTGGACCGTTATTTTCACAGCACTGTAGTTATCTTAGCCAATGAAATGAATGTATGAGGTGTGATAGGGGGAAAAACGTTTATGAAATCTTACTTTTGTGTTAGGAAGCAGAACTTGCACTGTTGTGGTGGTGTTGTGTCTATGTAGTTGTTTGTTTCTAATTTTTAAGTACTGATATGTCCATTTCTTTTTAGACCTCTTGGGCCTGAAAGCCTCTTACTTCGTGGAGCAAGATTAAAAAACACCAAAGAAATATTTGGTTTGTAGACATCTAAATATTTAAAGAGTATTCTCTTCTTAAAATATGTTGATGATCTGTGGTGTAATTCTATTTGCACTGAAGAAATTGTAATAATCTTGCTGACTGTTACCTGAGGGCATATGATTATAGATGAAAGCAATGATATTATGCTGAAGAATCTCTAAGGATATAGACTTCCAACTCCTCTCTGTGAAAATGTTTGAAGTGGTTTGATAAAGGAATAACTTAACTTCAATGGATAAATGACTGTTGTTACTGTTATCCATTGTTCAAACTTTCTCCTGAGATTTACCATTCTGATTTCCATAAAATACATATTGAAGAGCAGTACAGTCATAATAATGAACAGCGTTTTAGTAGGTGTTAAAACTAATTCAATAATACTGTTTTACTATAGCAGGATATTGCAAATACTTACAAAATACTGTCTCACCATTGTACTGAAGTAAACACAAAAGTAATATCACCTCTTGATTTTATCCTATGTCTCTTAAAACAAAACATTCTGCAAATTGTATATATGCAGAAAGCAATGTATAACTCTTCCCCTCCCCCCACTTCCTTCCCAGGTGTTGCAGTGTATACAGGTATGGAGACAAAGATGGCATTAAATTACAAGAGTAAATCTCAGAAACGGTCAGCAGTAGAAAAGTATGTTTATTTTCTAATATCTTTCTTATTTGTAGAGTTTTGACTTAGTTTTTCCTCAGCAACTTTAAAACCCTGATCTTGTCATTGGGTTTTAGGCAAGGGAAGAGAGTGTAATTGCTTTGCATTCAGTAGGAAGCTATAAAGATGAAATCAAATTCTTGATATTTTATCCTTTATTGTTTCTTTCAGTAGTGTACAAAGCTGAAATGCCCAAATTTAAAAAGGAGAAAAATTTAGTTTGGGAGGTTTGTTTTTCTGAGATGTGGAGAGCATTTAACAATAGGTGAAATGCAGCATGAACCAGATGCTCGGGGATAGTTTTCACAACAGTCCCAGCCTCTGCTGTTGTTTGCATCCTTTACTGTAAAACTGCATCATGCCTTTAAAGAGGATGGATTGAAACAACGTCATAATTGCTTACAGATCTTTGTTATGAATTGTAGTATTTGATATATGGAAAATAGCTTTATTTCACATAGTCTAAAGGATATTGCCTATCCAGATATGTTTTGCAATGAATCCTGCTTCTAGCACAGGCTCAGTTTTAAATTTTTTTTTCTTATAGTTATGGGATAGCTGTTACTATAATAGAGATTTATATTTTGAACTTTGTGAATTATTTTAAACAGAAAAGGAGTTCTGATATGTTGCCTTTATTCCAGTTACTAAAAATCTGAGATAGCCTCTTTAGCACGTGTGGGATCGATTATTCTTCTATAGCCAGATACAGACAGAACTGTAAAGTGCATGCGAAAAGTTTAGATCAAAGCAAGGGGTGGAAATGTGGTCTAGATAGCATTACGGAATGTAGAGACAAGTTTGACTGTATCCTGGTAGAGCATAGCCTGGGTTAAATAATCAGATGCACATGGGTAGTGCTCCTCTAACTGAAGAAAAAGGTGTAGCCTTGGATTTCCATTCTGGGTGGTTGTCCTGCCTTCACAGCCTTGCTAGATACTCAGGGAAGAGTAAGTCAGCCCCCAAAATCGTGGACAACAGGTGTGACTCAATTTGCAGTGTTGGAGTGTTCTTGCACCTTAATCTAGTCTTCATATTGCTATATGTAGAGAGTATCTTAGATGCAGGATTTCTTTTTACTTCTGTTGCTTTTTTGTCACATAAAAACATCCATGTCAAACACAGGATGCATTTGTAAAAATTGTCCAATAAGTTTTTGTTCAATACATATAACCACAGTGTGTCAACAGATTAGGTAAAATAAACTGAAGTTGCTTTTTTTTTTTTTTGCCTCTTTGTAGATCCATGAATTCCTTTTTGATTATTTATCTAATAATTCTCCTCTTTGAAGCCATTCTGAGTACTATTTTAAAGTACGCATGGCAAGCTGAAGAAAAATGGGATGAGCCCTGGTATAATGGAAAAACAGAGCATGAAAGAAACAGCAGTAAGGTAATGCAGCTCTACCTAGTTGCATATCTGCAGAACCCTCAACCACTATCTACTGAATGTGATATTTTTTATGTCTCTGTCCTTGCCTATACTTGTACGTACCATCAGAGAAATAACTTGCATATGTGCTGTTGTCTGAGTATTTTTGAGAGAGTTAGACCTATGTAGCCTCACCCTTGTGTAGAAATATCTTACCTCTGTTACTGGTTGGACTTTTTCTTCCTTTATGAAAAAATGAAGCTTATTGAAATTTTGGGGTTTGTTAGGACATATTTATGGTGTTCTATAGTTGTCTTATTGTTCTTTTGTGTGTCTTTTGTCATTCCTTAAATGAAAAGAGGAGGTAGATGGCTGTTATTGTGCACATTCCATTGCAGTTATTTCATAGTTCAGGCATTTTGGACATTATGTGATGTTGAGATTGTTCAGACAATTTTGTGAGACTGTAATTTTGCTCAAGCTCCTGCTTGCCTTCTTACTTTTCTGTAGAGATTGGAGGAATACTTTGAAGTGTTCCTTAAGTCTGCAGTTCTGAGAAGTGTCTTTTTTTAAAAATCCTTCTGTATTTTTCTGTGTTCTGTTTAATTTTTGATTTCTGTACGAGTCTACTGTGTTCCTCACACACCTGTCCCCATCTCCCAGGGAGCTGAGAATTGAATGTGCTCACTACAAAAAAGGTCCAAATCCCAAGTCAGGAGAGTTCTGTTCTGCTTCACAAGCAGAGTGAAGCTTGTGGTTAGTACGTAGTGGTTTGGGAAGGAAAAAGAAGCAATTTGAGAATGTCTTTGATTCAAGGAGAGTTAAGAGTTTACTGGCATTTCAGGAGAACATGTAACTTTGTCAGAAGCTTGTCATGTAAGGTGTTTTTGTGGTTTTTTAACTGGAAAAATATCTTTAATCATTTTATCTCAAGGCTGTATTTTAATTCAGATCATCACTACAGTTATCAAGAACCTTTCAATATATTCTAAAATAAGCTTAGCTAAAAGTGTCACTGTTGAAAAGTACTAAATGAATTTGAATGTTTTCAAATTGTTTAGTGACTTTGAGTACCTGTAGCCCCTTATTGCACTTTGAACTGTTGAAGTGGTCAGTCAAGTAAATTCTTGGCTCCTCTTAACTTGAAGTAGTTGCTAACTACTGTTGCTAATTAACCTGTGGAGCCTTTTCAGTTTGAAATCAAATTGGGATAAGCATTTACTCAATCTTCCTATCCCTTTACTTTTGCCTTCAGGATCACACAGAGCCATCTGTGTTTCTGCAATGTCACTCTCCTTCTATCATGTCTTTTTTTTTCTCTCTCCCTTGTTTACTTCCACAATCTGCTTTGCATTTCTTAATGTGCTGACTCCCTTACTTGGAGTGCTTTCTCTATTCTTCTGTCCTGTGTTGTGCGGATTGTTATTTAATAGACAGCTCTTGAAGAAACTTGCTAACCTTGGTAATTGAAACTTCATTTCAGTGTATCTTGTCTTCCATGAATTACTGCTCTTAGTCTTTATCTTTTTTGGTTTAGTTTGGAAGATCTCTTAAGGCACAGAACTTCCTGAGTTTTTGTAAGACACCTTAATCATTGGTACTGACTTTTATTAAGTAATTGTAGCAACACTCCCTAATTAGGAAGAACAGACAATATTTAGCTTTGTAAACTGTTGTCTACTTTTATACTCCCTTTCTTCAAAATGCTCTCCTACACCAATATTTGTTAGAGTTGAAAAAGATATCCCAACTTTTCTCATGTCTTAATCTCCCTTGCTCAATATTCGGGTGTTGGTAAGAGTCTTCCCCAAGTACAGTTTACATACTGAGTTTGTTTTGCAAATGAAGAAGAGACTGCAATCTTGAATTTCAGAGTTTGTTAAAATTGTCATACCTAATAAAGAGAAATTTCTATCCTGTTACATAGCTGTTTACCTGAAATGTGTGTTGAATACAATGATTTGAAGAGGCATAAAAAGTCTGTGCCGTTGAAATACACATGATCTCTTTCTTGTCATGTAGTCTGGAACACCTGTGTCACTGGGGACTGCCAATAGACAGGAACCTTCCTGTTGCTCTGCTGTCCTAAACCAATACAGAATACTTGCAGATTCCTCTGACAACATGGAATATCAGTTGTTTGCCTTCACTGTTTGTGGTTCCTTAGAAGAGCCTATGAATGGTGCTGTTTGATGGAACAGGGAACTTGTTAGTTTTTTCAGACCCAGCTCCTTGAAGAAGAGATGTATTTGAAAACAAAATCACCACAACAGTTAATATCAATTGTTATCCCTCCTGAGATATTCAGTAGAAAGGATAAAAATGAACTTGAGAACTAAAACATCCAGTCATAGGTTAAGGCAGTCTTTTGGATCAGTCTGAAGACCCATTACTGGGGCAACCTGGAAGCGGCTGCATTGTCACTCGGTGTTGTCTCGCTCCTGTGTACATGGGACTTGGTATCCTCTGGCTCTGTCAATTTTTCATTTTTCATACATATTGAAACGTAACTAAGTAATCATTTTTCACGTGATCGCTCCAGTAATCTTTACACTTTCTCTTTTTTCTTGTAGATTCTGAGATTTATTTCAGATTTTCTTGCTTTCCTGGTACTTTACAATTTTATCATACCTATTTCACTTTATGTGACTGTTGAGATGCAGAAATTTCTTGGATCTTTTTTTATTGGCTGGGATCTTGACCTCTATCATGAAGAAACAAACCAGAGAGCACAAGTAAATACTTCAGATCTCAATGAGGAATTGGGACAGGTAGAGTAAAAAATGTGTTGTTTCTTCCTTTTTTTTTTTTTACCTTCTATTTTCTGCTCCTTTTTTAGTAGTAAAATCCATTACTGCAGACTTTATCGGTTGTGCTTTGATTTCTACTTAATTTGAAAATGAGGTGTAAATATCTGATGTCAGAAATTAAAATTTTTACATGGTCAAAGAAAGATGTTGTAGTTTTTTTTCTTTTAACAAGTATATGTAACTCCAAATCTGTTTTTTGTTTTATTTTCTAAAAGGTAGAGTATGTGTTTACAGACAAAACTGGTACATTAACTGAAAATGAGATGCAGTTTCGGGAGTGCTCCATTAATGGCGTAAAGTACCAAGAGGTCAATGGTAAATTAACTGCAGAGGGCTTTTCTGAAGATTCTCCAGATGGAAATAGGCATAGTTTGGTAAGACTTTCCCCCTCCCCACCATTAGGCATCCTAGATTGAAAGTGTTGGTTTGTTTTTTTTTTTCAGAGAAATATTCTTCTAGAGTTAGTGGTTTTTTTTAAATGAGAATTTCCAAATAGTTTGAAGATATGAAGTGTTACTGAACAAATATTAAACATGTTGAGATGTGATTATCTAACATGAAATAGTTGGCAGATTTTAAAGTAAAAACATATTTTTTATTAAGTGTGTTCAAAACTAGCTCGATATCTAAATGTTACAAATAAAGTTTTTTCTTTCTTATAGATGAAAGAGGAAGAACTCTTCTTGAAAGCAGTTTGTCTTTGTCATACAGTGCAGATCAATGCAGATCAAACAGATGGTGCTGATGGTCCCTGGCATGCCAATGGAATAGCATCCCCATTGGAGTATTACGCTTCTTCACCAGATGAGAAAGCTTTAGTTGAAGCTGCAAGCCGGTGAGTTGTACTGCCAAAACTATCTAATGTAGAATTTCCTTACTAGGGCAGGCGATTTGTGGTAAAAGCAACTTTAAAATTGCTCAGAATGGTTGCAAATAAAGCCCAGGTCTTCGCACTATGAAAACATAGAAAAGTAAAATACACAAAAGCCCTGACATATTATGAAGTGATGATTTGAAATATTTATGGAAATCCTTGAGAAACTGTACGGGACAGAGTATGTTGCTATTAAAATATTGTACAGAGCAGGCATTCTTCATTCTCTCTAGAAACAGAGAGCAGTAATGGGGTATAAGAGTCCCTCTCTTCTTCCCTCCCTTCCCCCCCATCAATAGGCATTATGTCTAAAGTGATGATTAAATGTATATTTTTCCTTTTAGGGTTGGAGTAGTATTTACTGGAACTAGTGGGGACAGTATGGAAGTAAAAAGTCTGGGAAAACTAGAAAGGTATTCATTTTCATTCCTTTCTTTCTTTGAAGGGCAGAACAGTAGTGAAGAATACTATGATGTTCTCCTCTGAATCCTCTCTGTTATAAGAAAACCTTGCCTTTCCACAGCATGCTCTTTTTCATGCTTTTCCCTTGATGTCTTCAAGACAGCTTGCATCTTATTCCTTACCAATTGAAACTGAGATGCAAGAATTTTGTGAGTTACGCTGTCGGTGTGTATTATAACAGTTTGTATCTTTACCCATTCCTCAAAGGTTGAGACTGTAGTAGAGTTGGAAAACTGGATTGCTTATTCAAGTCTTGCAGTTTGTGCTTTAAGCTATAGAAGTTCTCACAATCAGTCTCATGTATGCATAATCTAATTACATATTTTAAAGTTCCTCAAAATGATTAGAAGTATTATTGATAAATGTGTATCTGCAATATGTCATAACACCTTTTATCCATTTGATCTGTGTCAGTGGGCAGTACTTTAAACTTAAATGTCTAAAATTCATTTTCTAAACTAGTGGTAACATAACAAAAAATAGTTGAGTTATCAGGGAACATACACTCTTTTCTGACTTTCTGTTACAAGTGTTAGAAATAAAATGTAGTTTTCAAAGTTACACTTGAAGTAGTGATAGAAGGATAAAGGAATGGGTAGGACCTGATGGTAATCTCCAGATGTAAAGCTAGTGTTCAGGGAACTGTTCCTGTTGGTAGAAGAACCTTTTATTCTTATAGAATGGAATTAAATGCATATAAAGTGATGAAAAGCAATCCATTGCACAAATATAGATAAGTAATTGTTGCTCAACAGTGGTAGCATTACTTTTGGAGTTTCTTTATAAAAATGACACTTTGGGGAAAGCTCTGTGGGGCAAGTGTATATTTATAAGTATTTGCCTTTGGATATTTATTTCTAAAAGTATTTTATTCCCCTTCCCTCTTCTATTAAAACAAAAAATAACAGGTATAAATTGCTTCATGTTTTGGAGTTTGATCCAAATCGCAGACGAATGAGTGTCATTGTGGAGAGTCCCTCAGGTAAGTGATCAGAAGTTGTACAAGCTGCATTTGAGAACTTCTTAAATAGTATGTATTCTTAATTTCTATTCTGTTTTACTTTTTAGGGGAAAAGCTTTTATTCACAAAGGGAGCAGAATCTTCCATTCTTCCCCATAGTAAGAGTGGAGAAATAGACAAAACCAGGATACATGTGGATGAATTTGCTTTGGTAAGTGTATATGTTTGCCCAGTTGATGGGAAGAAAATTCTTTTGGTACAAATTCTTTGTCTTGAATTGAATAAACTGCACGTGACACCTTCTTGTTAGATCAGAATCTTCTCTACTCTGAATGTAGTCTTTTATATTCTCACAGAAAGGACTAAGAACTTTATGCGTAGCCTACAGAAGATTCACCCCTGAGGAGTATCAAGAAATTGGCAAACGCCTTCATGAGGCCAGGACTGCCTTACAACAACGGGAAGAGAGATTAGCAGATGTATTCAACTTCATAGAAAGAGATCTGGAATTGCTTGGGGCTACGGGAGTAGAAGACAAGTATGCAATGGAGTTTCTGCTAACTACACTCAAAAACATAGGACGTTTAGGATTTATAACTGAAGTATGATGTGTGCCATTAAAAACTCTTCTGCCACCACGAAAAGTTCTGTGCTATTCTTGTGTAGTATGTTTACCATTCTTTGTATTGAGGAGCATTCAAAACAAGTGTTGTACCAACTGGTTTGGCTTAGCTATGACATACAGTGTGCTTCATCAGGAGGGATTTAATGTACGTGAAACAGAATAATTGCAGTAAATATTTAGGGTAATGGCTGACTCCTTGGGAAAACTTCTAAAGCATTCTGCTTGCGTAGTGTGTGTTCTGTAAGTCAGAGGGTGTATTGTACTCTGGAGTGTACTGATGGAGCACTTAGAAGCTTTTCATGCACCACAGTAGAGAAGAATTGTTGCAGTGGTGCCTAATTTAAATTAAGATACGCTTATTACAAATTTTTGATGACTTAGCAGGATTGAAGTTCAGTTTTTGTTTCATCCAGGCCTTCCTTCTATTACTGGCAACAACATCATCTGTCAGACTATGATTCTCTGAAAATATACGTAACATTGGAAATGCAGTCTTAAATCATTGTGACGGGGGTTACAGGCGTAACATGGAGTTACAGTGTGAGCTGTTTTTTTGTAAAGTGTACGATTGGTTATTTGAGATTTTTCTTGTTTCTAGACTGCAGGAGAAAGTCCAAGAAACCATAGAAGCACTCAGGTTGGCTGGTATCAAAGTGTGGGTACTCACTGGAGATAAGCACGAAACGGCTGTTAGTGTCAGTTTATCGTGTGGACACTTTCATAGAACCATGAACATCCTTGAGCTTGTGCAGCACAAGTCAGACAGTACGTGTGCGGAGCAACTGAGGCAGCTAGCCAAGAGGTAAAATTCTGGAGATGTCGTTATCTCAGTGATGATCTTAGTTTAGTTTTATTTTCAAATTTTATTACAATCTTTGTTTTATGTGCTGAACACATGAAGTTGCCTTTTTTAAAAATGTCTATTAATATAACAGACTTGAAGCAGGTTGTCTAACAGGCTAGCTTCTTTGCTTATGGTATGGGCAACCACACAGTTCATTAAAATAATTCGGTTTTTTCCGTCACACCAATACAAAGCCAACATTTTTGTCCCTGAATAGAATAAAGGAAGACCACGTTATCCAGCATGGACTAGTTGTGGATGGGACCAGCCTCTCTCTTGCACTCAGGGAACATGAAAAACTGTTCATGGAAGTTTGCAAAAACTGTTCTGCAGTGTTGTGCTGTCGCATGGCACCACTTCAGAAAGCAAAGGTAAGTGAAAATATAATCAGGATTGTCTTGCATGTATTTTTATCATGCTTTGAGGAGGCAAGGATTTCTGGAAATGCTTTGTTTGCCTGACCTTTTGTGTGACTTTTGAATCCTTGTTAAATTCAGTTGGTCTGGAGTAGTTTGCTAAGAAGTTTCTACACGTGTTTGTGAAAATTTGCAAGTGTATGGAGGAGAGAGTCAAAATATTGCCACCACGCAAGAAAAAGGCTAATTTTTAATCAGCCTCTTGAGTGTTCTATAAGGCAGTAGCTATCCTGGGCACCTGCATGCTTTGCATTGCGTGTTCCATCAATTCTCCAAACCAAAAAAGCTAAATTGAAAATTCATGAAGCTGTAGGGAAAAAAAGTGCTTTTGTAAAGATTTAAAAAATAGCTAAATTTGAGGAGGAAGTAGAAGGGAAAGGAAGGTTGTCATCTAGCCTCCAGGGAAGGTTTGCCTTAATGCTCTTTTCCAAGACCGTTTTTCCTTCAATTGTACTTAATTTTACTCAAATACAGATCAGATAAACCACAAAATCTGAATTGGACTTATTTTTTTTTACTGTAGAAATCTAAGCTCTGAAGAGCTATAATATTTATTCTTTCCTTTTGAAATTTTCTTTCCATTTTATGCTTCTCTTACTTTTTTGACTAATATTCAATTGTATAGCTCTATTGGAGTATGTTTTAATTTATTATACTTTTGCCTATCTATATGCTTCAAAGGCTTTTTGCATATGTTTCCAGTAATATTAAACCTCTGAAAATACATTGTTGCCCACTGTATTTTTACACCTTGTCAAAAAGTAAAGGGAAAAAGATATCTTTCTACCTTAAAGCAATTGGAAACCCTTATGTGAGTTACTAAATGTGCAAAATTGTTTCACTATAGCATGAGTGACCTGTTTTGAGATCATTCTTCCTGCTTCCAACATTTAGCCAGACTTTTAATGCAGTGTTTAGGATCGCTTCCTTATCAAACTGTTCAGCTGTATATAAATCTTGGTATAACGTCACTTTCAATATAATGTTAAAAGGAATTTGTAACTATGAGAAAAACAATTTGTTGGATGTGTCTGTTTTATGTACACTCAGCTAAAAGCTGAAATTTTTGCCGTCCCCTCTCTTTAAGGTATAGTTATTTGCCGATGTGATGTCCTTGTTCTTATTTTGTCATTTAACTTGATTTATAATGTGCTTTGTAATGCCAAATCTGTCAGACAGCAGCCAATTCTTACCCTGTCCAGCAGATAATCTCCATTGTTTCCTATTTGTTATGAGGCACAGTAGAACCTAATTTTGATGGCAGTGATTTTAAACACTGAAGTCTATAAATCACTGAGACAAACGGCATATAACATGGGAGGGAAAGGTAGGGGAGGAAGCGTATGGCAGTTTACTCTAGCCTTGCGTTTGATTTTCTGCTGTAGGCATGCTTTTGTGAGGTTTATTCCAAGGTTAAGCTGGAACTCAGTTTAATATTAATTTCCCACATCTTTTCCTTTAATGCTTGTTAATATACGGCTAGTGGTCTCACTACTTGTTTTTGTGTTTTATGGCTCGGAAACCTTTTTAAACATCTTCCATGTCAGTCATTCGGAGCTGCTGCTGATCGCTGTTGGTAAAATTTTCCAGAGGATTTGTCTTGACCTTTTCACGTAGATGTCCGTCTAAATTATCAGAGTCTTCGGTGTCTCACGAGGACTGGTCTGGGTGACATACTGCAGCCTTGCTGCCTCTTTGAGGCTGCTTACTAAGATCTAACGTTAAATGTACTTGAAATAATTACCCCTTAGGAATGGGGAACCTTTAAACTTGAATATTAATACCTGCAGTTAGGGAATGTATTCCCACACTGAGGTGTATTTCTCTGAACTATGAACTGTATTTAATCACTGTTGTGTTCATTGTGTGCGGTGAGTTACTGCTCCTGTGAGTCACTGCTCTGACGCTGCCAGCTAGAGCTCAGTTATTGGAGTACCGTTGTTTGTGTCTACTTACCTCATGCAGTTGTTTCTCTGTTGATACTTCTGCTTTGGGTTTTGTGGAACTTCGGGGGGAAAATGCAGATTTTTTTCACAGAGAAATCTTCTTTGTTTTCAGAAAGAATTCTTGAGCTGTATTCACTCCTTTACCTCTACCCATTTATGACTGAATTAGTGAAGCTTCTACCATTAGTGACAGCTCTCTGGGAGGTTAATGAATTACTAATTCTCCTCAACCAAAAACCTCATCTCAGTCCTCTCTATTTAGATTATCGTCAGCACCTCTATTAAAGATCTTTTTCCTTTCTGGGAAGAACGGGATATTGCTGCTTGTCTTTGGAGGATTTTAGAGCCTTCTATGTAAACAATTTTTTTTCTCTTTCTGTCGTATCTACTCCTGTGACTTTTTCAGCCGAGAATATCCATTGGTGATAATGACGTTGCTTTAAAAAGAAACTGTTTTTGTTAATAACAGCATGTATTGATCTCTGTGAGATAATACATTTTTTTTCAGATTCCTCTTTTACACTGATTAGTTCTATTAATTGAAAACGGGAAGAATCTGCACGTGTCTAGTAAAGGGCATTAAATCTGAATTACGCCCTAAGTAAATTTTCAGTTCTGACTTTTACTTGACTGTTTTGTATGAGAAAGCACCAAATTAAGAATTGTAAAAGAACAGCTAAATAAGAACATGAAAATAAGCTCAAGGCAGGCATAATATTTAAACAAAGGCTTTTTCCCCAAAGCAAGCAGCTTGTCTGAAGGGGCAATGGATTTGAGCGTGTGATACGCCAAAGATGTTTTTTACCCAAGCGTGCACATTCATAAAACATATAAATTGTATTTTCAGGTAGGTAACTAATAGACTTGGGAATTAGTGACGTGGTTTGTAATAGACTTTCTGGCTAATTAGAAAAATTTCTGACCCCCCTTTTTTTTTCCAGGTAGTGCGACTGTTAAAAACGTCTCCAGAGAAACCTATAACATTAGCGATCGGTGATGGTGCTAATGATGTGAGCATGATACAAGAAGCACACGTTGGCATAGGTAACTTACTTTTGTCAGAAGAGATAAATGCAAATAAGATGCAAATTTTAGTAGAGGATGCGATCCTGACTAGTGTTATAAAGAGATAAGCTGCTAACATTTTTGCACCTGTGAATGATAGAGTGTTAATCTGAGTCATCTGCTGCAGCAGAGTTTTAGTGGAATTTAAAGTCTAAGGCTGTTTGCTTTCTGAAGTCTTAGGTTTGTTGTATAGTCTAACAATATTCAGAGGTCCTGCTTCATGCTGCCTTAAGAACAGCAAAGATTCTCTGTAAGTAAAATCTCAGAAGTACTCTGCTTCAGACATTGGAAGTGGATATTGCTAACTGCAGACCATGTCAGGTTCTAAGCTCCTGTGTAAACCCGACCTTTAAACCTTTCTTTGCACTAAACTGCCACTGTTTGCACCACGTCTGTGTCACGGTAGAAAGGCTATTTGTGTCTAGTTTGTCTTGGAGGAGAAGGCTTTCCTTTCTCTCCTTGAGAGACTGTTATTGATTCTCACCTAAGCTTTGTAGTTTTCTCTGTTTGTTGTTTTCTGTTACCTGGCCAGGACCTTCTTTAAACTTTTTTTTTTGTGCTGTATTATATAACTGAGTACAAAACATACATACATAACTGAATGGGTACCCTTCACGTAGTGTTCCATTATTTCCTTTACTGACTTTCGATGGTGTTTATTGAAACAGTAAATGCTGAAGGTTCTTACATAAGGTATGGGTACATCAGGATATTCAGTCTGTCACCCTTTGTGATTAAAAAGGTGTATGTAATGTTCATCATGTAAACCATGTTGCCATGATTTTTAAGACCATGGGTTTAGCCTGCTTGAGAAGGTTACAGGCCAATAACAAATGATGCCTTAATTTACAGCTAGCTTGTCAACTAACTGAAGCTTATTAAATATAAAATGATCCACATTTTTATTGTAATTTGTAGCATATTGGACATGACATGTACGTTGGTCAGAACTAGCAAGTCTTTGCCATGGAGGGTGACAGGACCTTTAGATAATTTTTTTTTTAAAAGCAACCAGCACCTCTAAGGGTCTGGTTTTCAGGAATCCTAGGCCGCTTTTCTTCCTAAAAGTGTGTTTTGTGTTTTCTGTGTATGCTTATCCTAATCTTGTAGTGTTTAGAAATGAATTTGTGTTCAGCTGTGACAAATGACAAGCATTGTCAGCTCATCAGATTAAGTTAACTGCTTAAACTTTAATTTTTATAGAATTTAACCTATTTTCTGTTTTGTTTCCCCAATGTTACAGGAATCATGGGCAAGGAAGGAAGGCAAGCTGTAAGAAACAGTGACTATGCAATAGCACGGTTTAAATTCCTCTCCAAGTTGCTTTTTGTTCATGGGCACTTTTACTATATTAGAGTAGCAACCCTTGTACAGTACTTTTTTTATAAGGTAAGTCTTCAAAGAGTACCAGTGAAGTTCACAGAAAAATGTGTCACTTTTTCCCAGCAAGATATTTATTTCAGATCTAACATCTTTATTGGGAACTGGTTAAGTATCTCTGTTCAAACATGTTTTGTGGGTTTTTTTTCAGAGTTGTTAGGCATGTACTGAGGTTTAACTATTTCCTTCACTCTTTCTTTTCAGAATGTGTGCTTTATTACACCACAATTTTTATATCAGTTCTTCTGTTTGTTTTCACAACAAGTAAGTATTGGATGCCTTACATCTTGGTAAACATGTATGAAACAGGGTAAATAACTAGAAAAATGGAAAAAACTACACATAAGCAGCACATGTTTTACACTTAAGTATCCAGCTTCATTTTCTGTATTTGATAGCTTGATGTTACTAGATCATTCTGTGAGTATAGCTTTTTTCTAACTAGTAAATTCACGTAATTAATAATTTGTTGGTGCTGTTATTGTGCTAATAAGTTTTAATAAATACAAACAACTGTTTCTTTTACAAGACTCAGAATAATTTTTGTTTCTCTTTTCAGACGCTCTATGACAGTGTATACCTGACTTTGTACAATATTTGTTTCACTTCCTTGCCTGTCCTCATATACAGTCTTTTTGAACAGCATGTGCATCCGCATGTATTACAGAGTAAACCTGTGCTCTACCGGTATGTATATCTTATGTATGTTGTCATGGTAGCGTATAATTTAGACCAACAGTGGCATCTGCAGAAGTCTGAAGTTGCTGTTATTAATTCCTACAGTATTTTTATCTGCAATTTATGCAATTTTTAGACACTATTTTGATGGAGGAAGAACTGCAGCATTACATGGTTTTCATCCTACAAGTTTATTAACATGAGCATTTTAAAAGAAGCATCTTTTTATGTTGGTCATCTTAAGACTAGAAGAAAATTGAGCGCTTGGTCGTCTTAGATGATTGGCAGCCCTTCTCTTTCGTTATGTAGGAGGTGAAAATTGGTTAGATATGCAAATTAAAAACTAGGACACTGTGGTTAGGGGAGTCACCAGGAAAATGTTAGCTAAGAGGGGAAGTGATTTCCTATAGAATTAGGTGTCCTCCCAGTGGTTGCATGTTGCACTGCATACTGCTTTTCAGAGAAAAAAAAAAAGTATGTATCTTTGTGAAAAAGAGATGTCTTTTAGATGTTTCTTTTTTTCCTAAAGGTCTTTAAAGCAGAGCAAGGGGCAAGTATCAGGAGATCTAGCTTTTTCTTCCTCTTGCAATTCCACCTCCAGGGAGAAGAAATCTAATTTGTGCTATTCTGAATGCGACCTATTAGAGACCCTTGCCATTGGTGATACTTGCATAAAGCAGAGGCAAATTTTTGACCGTAATTTATGTATTTTTTTCATATGTCAGCATTCATTAAATGTATCTTGGTAGAGTTGAAAGTTACATTTATTCAAAGCAGTAGCAGCCATGCAATGTGAATAGCTGATGGGTTATATAAAGACAATCTGAAATCGAAAATGCTGTTTTATTTCTGCAGAGACATCAGTAAAAATGCCCATCTGGGGTTTAAACCGTTTCTTTACTGGACCATCTTGGGCTTCTTTCATGCGTTTGTTTTCTTTTATGGCTCGTATCTTCTAATGGGAGAAGACACTTCTCTGCTGGGAAATGGCCAGGTACGGTATCATAAGAATTATGCTACCATGGTATTTTTGGTGGTGTTTCTTAATGGTTTGTGGTTTTTTTTTTATCCTCTTGTGGCAGAAAAATAAAAGGCTTTTTATTTTTATGAACTACCTAAGTGCTAAAGATGCTTTGCCAATATTTGTGTGTGCACTCTCAAGAGTAACGTTTCTTAGTGTAGAAACTGTAAGATGTCAGAAAGTGTATGTCCATGAAGAACATATCTTTCAAGATAATAAATGTATTATGGCTGTCTTTTTTTATTTTATACACTGTTTTTGAAAATCATGTGTCATGACTTCAGTAAATAAGAATTTATATTAATTGATTCAAAACTCATTTTGAGTTGGACTTAATTGCAGTATCAAACAATACTTCTCGTTAACATCTGTTATAAAATTAGGCTTAAATATGAAAGTTGCCAGAAGCCTTAAAGCTTCTCCTGAAAATGTATTATTTTAATTACTCAGAATTTTAAAAAATTTAGGTGGTGCAACCTGCTTTTAAGATATACTTTTTATTCAATAAATGTTTTAAAGACAATAACTTGATGAAATAATCAAATATAAATTTAACCCATTCTGCTTTAAAGATGGTTCAAGTTAACAGAAAAAATCATACACAAAAATCTCTAAAGCTCAGATGGAACCATTACAAGTCTGCTTCCTCATTTTCCCTGGTTCTTAGTTAACCCAGGAAGTGTAGCCAAAAAAAAAAAGGGTTTCCATCTAATGATGTACAGACAATGGCCAGAATTGTGTCGAGTGACTAAAATCAGAGAGGATGGGAACTGGTCATTAGCATCCCTGCAGAGAAAGGAGCAATAGAGGGGCAGTGGTGCAGCTAGCTGGAGTACCGGTTGCATCCTGAGATGTTTGATAAGAACATTCAAATAGTTGTGCTTTAGACTAGAATGCCTCTTAGAGATGAGCTGTGAGTGTGTCCTCTCATCATTTGTTACAAGCTGTGTCACTTTGAAGTTCTTGTGAATTGGTAAAGGACATTTGATTCTCTTCTAATGAAGTAATTTTACACTATGAATCAATGCATCTCTGTGCATCTGTCTTAGTTGTCAAAGCACCTCACTTCAAAATTGCTTAGTAAACGTCCACAAGGCAGGAAAGGACTTTCTTCATTGTATTTAGTAACAAATGTTTAGTTTGGGGAACATATGATATTCTATAAGTCTAGGCCAGTGTGTTAAGGTAGACTTTATGGTGAAGGTTCTTTCAATGGTTTCTTGTATAAATTAACCTCAAGATTTTAAAAATATATTTAGTGAATGAGCATACTGGAAATAAAGCTTTCAGATGCCCTTTGGCTTCTCATGTTTTCTGTGATGTGACTTAAAAAGAAGTCACAGAGTTTATTTGGAGCTACTCTCTACCCCTCTGTGTTTGCTAAAAGATGGTTATTGGAACTGTGTGTTGCAGCAAATGATCTGCAGTGCATAAAGTACGTTGCAAACATAATGTGTGCCTGAAAAACCCAAAGTTAAGGGCAAGAGAAACTCTTGTACTCCTGAAGTCCTTTCTTGTAAGAAGTCCTCAAGAAGTGGTCACTTTGTGCAGATGTGTGATACTGTTGGTGCAAGGCCTCACACTTTCATTCCAAGTTCTCAGTTTGGAGCAAAGCACAGTAGAAGAGATGGTAAATATTTGTTAATGCTGGTGGTTTGTTAGGCTTACCTCAACGCGTTGTGCAACAACTTGATCTTTTAGTTCTTTTTTTCTCCCCCCTTTTTCATGCTGTGCATGTCGTCAGATATTGAAACCTAACAGGCAAATGGTAAGAGTTTAGAAGAGGAGGAGATACAATATTTTCTATCTGTTACTTCGCAGGATTAAAGGATGCAGCATCCGCAGTTTAAATGTGTTCAAAAATAACATGGTGGCAAGAACCTGTTCATGTTTTGCTTTCTATCCCTGTGACCATTGAGAGCAGTGTTAGCAAAGACACTTTCTTTCACAGCTCACTCAGGAGCAGTAGTCTAATATTACTTCAATATTATTATTGCAGCAGTTAACACCAAGCGTGTTGCTTGTTTAAACATTGCTATCACTGTGAAAAGTAAATAGAAGGCTTCAGAAGGCTTCAGAAGATGTGTTACAACAAAGATCTTTAAAATTTTCAGCAAATCCAGACTCATGGCTGCCTCAGTTTTGTACCTTGTGTAAAAATGAGAAAAGCAGTTGTGAGATCTGTCTTCAGACTGTTGGGGATTTTTTTTTTTTGTCAGAGCTCTGTAACAAGGACTACAACTGTGCGAATCCCAGTTCCGTGCCTCTGTGCTGTACTAACAAATCAACTCTAGGATGACTTTTGGTTGCCTGTCTGCATGTGGTACCTTTCTCCTTGCTTGCTTAGTTTGCTAAATACCAAGTTGAGGGGTTTGGTCCTTGTTCAGTATGTCAGTGGCAAAAATAGCTATGAAACAGCTACGTCTTTGGGTTTCAGCGCCCAGACTGCTCACAAGAGCAGAGCAGTTGGACCTGTTGTAGAATGGCAGCGTGTGTCTGAGTGGCATGTGTGTAGTTAGATTAGAAACCCGGCATCCCTGCTTGGTTGTCAGAGCTGAGATTTTATTGTTGTAGAACTTGTTCAGAGTTTTGATAGTTTAATTTGCATGGGCAAGAGAATACAAAAGTGACTGATGCGGCAGTTTAGAATTGAAGCTGAATTTTGTGCTTATTAGCCTTGAAACAAAGTGTCTTTTCCTTAGACTTTTCTTAGAAAAACACAATTGCACCATTATTTTTGAATTGTAAAATTGTGCTTGGGGTAAAAAGTGAACTTTCAGGTGATGCTGCATGTTGAAAATTATCTGGAAATGTTTGAACTCAAAAGTGTTTTGCACTTACATTAAAGTGAATACTTTCCACCCAATATTTGCTTTCTACTGGATGCTTATACTTAATTGATCTAATTGGTATCTTCATTTTCCTATCATTTCATGGTACTGTTTTGGACTTTCTTCATATTTCATGTAGCCCTTGTGGTGATTTGTTTTGAACCAAGAAGGAAGATGACTTGTGGGTTGCTAATTTTGCTCTTAACATAAGCTGTACTTTTTTTTTCTAGTAGTTGGTGTTGTATCCTTCTTGCTTTTTCATGATGATGAGTTATCACAAGCTTATGTCCACAAACTTGTTTCATTCGTGTAGCTGACTTGAGAAGAATCTGACTTACCATGAATACTCTTAACTGACTTTTTTTCTTCCATTGTTTTTACCTTGATGTTTTATTAGATGTTTGGAAACTGGACATTTGGTACTTTGGTCTTCACCGTTATGGTTATAACTGTTACGATGAAGGTATGATATCATACTAATTACTCTCTATGTTTGGGTGTACAGGCAAATGTGGAATAGAGCAATAATTTAAAATTGATTCAAAAATTGTACAGAAGTAATTGATTCTTGAGGATTGTAGATAAGTGATTTTTATGTTTGGTTTCAGTGGTGGTTGGAATTTTGCTTTGTAGTTTTTGCATGTTACAACACTACTTAGTGTTTGAGCTGAAAGTTCATAAGTATGTTCAGACCAGTATTTATCATTCTCTGTGAAGTGGGGGCAGAAGGAAGTTCATTGAAGTTATTTTTGTTTTAGATGGCACTAGAAACTCACTTCTGGACATGGATAAACCATTTTGTTACTTGGGGATCCATTGTATTTTATTTCATATTCTCCTTGTTTTATGGGGGAATTATCTGGTGAGTGATTCTTCTCCTTTCTATAGCACCTATGATAGATGAAGCTATGAAAAAACATATTCTACCATATTGCTCTGAATTTTGTGACAGTCGTTGGAAAGTAAATTTTTAAACCTAGAGCAGCCACTTGCTTTTGGTGTTTCTTTCAGAAATTTGAGCGATGTTTCTAAGCTGTCGTGTGCTCAAGGACAGGAATTACTTGTCTCTGACAGCCCATTACTATAAAGCCATCCTTGCTTTTAAAAAGTAGATAGGTTCCCAAGGGTGCTATGTGATAGGTAAATATTTGCAACAGAAATGAAGATGCTGGTATTTGAATCAGTAAAGTAATGTATTTGTGCTTGTATTTTGGGGTCTTGGAGGGCAGTATGGAGATTGATTTCCTGCAACACAATTTAAAACTAAACCAGAACGTTTCCCTCTGAAGTTCGGTACCCTTATTCCCCAGAGTTTCTCTGCAGTCAGGTCCAACAGACTGATAGACTTTTTTCATGGACACCATGCATTTGTAACTCTGCATCCTGAGAGACTTGCTACTTGGTGTAAAATAATACTTGAGCCTGCCTGTGCTGTACTTTTGTTTCTAGAAGTTCCTTTTAGTAATTGCCGCTTCTTTTATCTTTTCAGGCCATTTTTACATACCCAGGACATGTACTTCGTATTTGTTCAACTGTTGTCAAGTGGTTCTGCTTGGTTTGCCATAATCCTCATTGTAGTTGCTTGTTTGTTTCTCGATGTTGTGAAGAAAGTGCTGTACAGACATCTACAACCAACAAGTACTGAAAAAGCTCAGGTAATGTTATGCTTTTGTATCCAACTTGATCAGTAGTGAAAAGAATGCATTTGTTAAAATCTGTCTTGTAAACTAATTACTTTCCTGTGATATTTAATTATCCTCTTACATTGCTGTCATGTTTAATGAATAAAAGTGTTCTCATTTCAAAAGATAATTGTTAATTTAAAATTACAAGAATGAGGCCACCATATTACAAGGAAATAACATTTAAGTAGTTGGTATTAACGAGAGTAGAATTATTTATAAAGGGGTCACTCAGTCTTTTGTATCTTAGCTTGTAACTGTATGAGAGGATCATAGCACACACTTTTGTACCACTTTAAAGATGGTAACTTACTCTCATTTTTATCTAGGTATCAGAAGCTTTCTCTTCAACTGTAATTGGCAATGAATAGTCCTTAAAATGTCCTACTTTAGTAGGACTTGTTTTAATTAGTGTTTCTTAAGTCTTGATCATATGATACACCATGTATTTGATTGTTGATTATGTAATTAAAGATAAGCACCTGTGTGGCATTTTCATAAATTCATAGAAGAGGTCTAAAGATATGCAGAGATGATAGAATCTCCCTTCTGCCAGACACAGGCTACAAAAACTCCTTGAAATCATTCTGTTGAAATTAGACTATCTTTTAGGTAAATTTCATCTATGTTTGGGTGTTTTCTTCTTTTTAGTGGCAGTTATGGAGAAGTCATCCTGACCCATTGTTCTAACAGTTACTATCTCTGGTTTCAGTTCTCAGGATTTTATCTTTTTATACTTCTTCTGATAAATTGAAAAGCCTTCCATTAACTTTTTTTTTTGTTGTTCTGTTTGTGGTTAGGTTTGTGATCAAATTAATTTTCTCACTGATAAGTAGATTGGACTTGCATTTCTTGTTGAAAAGGTTATTTTCAAGTCTTTCAATAATTCTTGTGTTTCTCCTGTAATCTTCACCATTCCTCAACCTCATCTTGAATTTTGGATTTCACCAGTGGACACGGTATTCCAGCACAGCATACATCAGTGCCAAATATGGAAATAATGACTCCCCCAGCTGTATTCAGTTCACAAAATAATATACATCAATAACCTGTTATCTTCTGCATCTTTTTCTTATCTGCAAGCAGTTATGTTGGTTTCTTCCAGGTCGTTGATGAGAGGTCAAATAGCATAGGGCCAAAAAAAGTGTGAAAGTTAATGATGAATCCAATTGACAGAGATACCCCAGATACGGTTACATTCTGAAACCTGTTAGCAGTTTTTAGTCTGTCTGTGTGCCGTATTGATTTTGTGGTGTCATAGTTACTTAATCCAAATTACACTGAGCTGTGTGCCATACAGAACTCTTACCTGCATTACATCAGTACTGTTACCTTAGCATCTAACCTTGTAATTACTTTGATGTAAGTGCATGTTGATTTACTTAAAACATATTACCTTTCAAATTTGTATGTTGAAAAAATCCATGTGAGACAGTCTCTTAATTTGCCTTGGATCAACATCATGCTCACAAGCCTATTGCTAGCCAAAACATCCATTAGTCCCTTTTTAAAACTGGAATATTAGCTGCTTTTTCTAGTCTTGGAATTTAGTAGCTAAAAGCCAAGGTAAATAACCACTAGCTTTCAGAAAACTGTTCAACTAGACCTGATAAGACTCTTGATTGCATGCTATCGCACTTTTTGGATTAAGGTGGCTTGATGTAGGACAATTACTTGTCTATCTTTTTTCTTTTCTTCAAAAACTAGTGGCAATATTTATCGAACATTTCCCTTTCCTTTCTTCCTGTACATCAGCTGTTTCTGTCTGGCAGTCTTACCGGTATGGCTGTTGAGGTTTCTCATGTTCCTAAACTGCTTGAATTAAAAACCAAAAAAGCCCACATCTTTTTTTCCTAGCCTTATCCATATACTTCTTGTTGCATTCTCTTGTTTTCTGTATCAGTTCTAAAGAATTTCTGGGTTCAGTTTGCTTCCATTGCAGTTCTGTTGTCAAGGGCAGGGTTGAATTTATTTTTAAGAAGAAATCTTTGCTGAATGTCTAACGCCTTTCCTGTGGCTGTAACTTGATTCATAGCCATGGGGATTTTGCTTTGCACATCTCGATTAGTCATCTTTGGTTTTTTCCCATTCTACTTTGCCATTTGACAGTGTCAGCATTAGAGTCTATGTTTACCAAAATAGTGTCTTTTTTCCGAAAACACTTAATTCCTGATACTGCAAAGTTGAGATATCTAAAATCTGATTTGACCAGAAATGCTTCAGCAGCCACTCAGTGGTTCTTCTGTGTGTGTCTGATAGTGAAATCATAGTTAAAATATATTTGCGAAAAGAAGGCACCTGTTTGTTCCTTTCTTGGGGTTTAATCTGTTGAGATTTTCCCACTCTTACTTTTAATGGATCAACCAGACCCACTGAATTTTATCGGCTATAGTGGGGAGGAAATAGACTTAAATGAACGCGAACAGATGACCAACCTCTGACACGTTTATTGTCAAGAAGTGACAATGCTTCCTTCATGATTATGCCTCATTAGATTTGTTTAAGGTTTCTAGTAAATATTTTTCTTTCTGTTTCAAAGCAGAGGAAAGGACGCTGACTTTCACATAGAATGAGTCTGAAGAACGACTTTGTCCTAAAAGCTAGGGAATTTTCTGTGGAAGGCATTCAAAGAGTGAATATGGAACTTTGTATATTTCACTTTTAAATGCATTTTTCATAGTATGGATATACCCTCTGTCTAACTGTATATTTTTAATGATTGTGTTTCATTGTAGAACTAAATTTGCGTATAAATATAGTAAATTTGCATATTGGGGAAAAGAAAAAGTGTGGTTTACAGTTACTAAGTTTTTATCAGGGCAAGATACATTGTTACCTGAACTACTCATTGATTTTTTAAATCACAGCTATTTAAGTTATTTGTTTCTGTCCCACATCGTTTAAATTCTAAAATATTCTCAAGAGCAGTGAGCAAAACACAGGTTTCTCAACTAAAAATGCTTGCCCCCTATTGTCTTAAACTTTCAGAAACAAAGACCACACTAGTTGTGCGAGTTATCCAACTCAGTGCTCTGAATTCACTGTGTCTGTGGGCGTCTGCCTTACTCTAAGGTTGTAGCATCAACAGTCAATCTGTCTCTCATCAAATAGGTGTTACATATAGCTAAGTTACTTGCAAGAGAGCAGAGTTTAACTGGTATGAGAGAAACACTTTGAGAAATTTTGCTGAAGATAACAATATTTACAACTATAAGTTTCTGTCAAAACAGCATAAAAAAACCCAACTTTGTTCCATTTTGGGAAGCCAGTATATTAAAAATTTCACAGGCAAGCATGACTTGACTTTTACAGAGGGATGAATTTGGCTAACTTTACCTTCCTTAATGCACTTAGGGTGCATGTGTGTAATTTTTTTCTTTTCCATCTTATTATGTCTGACTTCAGTGTGTTGCCCTGAAGTAGCTTCTGGGTAATTTCTGACTATAGGTCTCTTACAGAATCATATGGGAGGAAGCAGACAGTAAGGTAAATCTGAATCAAAATATAAATCTTTGGGTAAATATAAATCACAGCACTCTTGAGAGGAGAAGGTAATACTGACTAAACTTGTCTGGTAAAGTATAGATGTAAAAGCGTATAGGCCTCTTTTCTCAGTATGAAAGCTAAAGTACACTTAAGAATGGTCCTACCAAACAATAACTGACTGTGATGATCCCAGGAGCTGTCCTGAAGGTACCAGGCTTGTGTTCCATATATGATGTGTATTCCACTTAAATAACAATGTCTTGTCCTGTGTCTTTCTCTTAGAAAATTACTGCTGCTACTTACTGACATGTGTGTTCCATCCCTTCTCTGTCCAATTGTAGATGTACTCCAACAGAGTTGCTTTAAGTGACGAGTTCATCGCACTGCAGCCATTGTCCAGGGCAAGGAATCAGCTGAGCAAAATTAGGTAGAGTAGGAGGGACAGTTCCTCATCAACTCTTATGCATGCTGAAGGTGAACTAACCAGTGCTGAGAGAGATGGGAAGAGGCATGAATATTAGGGGGTTGAGAGGGCAATATCTGTAGCACAGATACATTCAGTTTGATTATTTCTTGGCTTTGCTCTGTGTTTTTGAGCCAAATGCTTCTAAGTAGCATGTGTTGGACGTGCTTTTTTTTTTTAGGAAAAAAACATCCCTAGCATGATGCTCAACTTTCAGAATACAGATCTAGCCCTTCTTGCATCCATTTCTAAATAATCAGTTTCTAGCATGGTTATAATGCTTTTAATTTCTTTATTATCAAAATTAACAGTGCTTTTTGCATGTTGGATAATTTCAGCTTCATAAGGCCGTGACAGGAAGGTCCATATATTTCAGGCAGCAATTTCTTGCGAGTTGTTTGCCCATTTTAATTTGCTTTCCCTTGTGTTGGAAGGGCAGAAAAAGTTTTAAGTTTGGGTGCGTACATACACTTGTGCAGCTAAGGCTTTTTGTGTTTGTTTTGTGCATCTGTAAAGTGAGTGGTGTTTGTTTTCAGTGTGTATGGATACGTATTTCTAAAGGCATTTGGATACAAAGTTTGAGAAAATTATTCCAAAAAAGATCAAAGTGTCCATGTGTCTGTGTAGGTGAACTATTATGATTCTGCAACTCTTCAAATGCACTGAGTTCAGTACATGAAATACTATTAAATGCTGATTCTCGTTTGTAAGACTGAAACATTCATATGCATCAATGTCTCAACGTGATGGATGTTTGATCTGCCTCTGTATTCTATAGCAAGAATTAATGCGAAGACCTGATTCCTTTTAAATATTTTAAGGTGACTGCGTTTTGGGACTTCATTGACATTCGTTAAATAAGGGGAAGTAGGAGATAGGAAGCTGACATTGTAAATGATTAGCAGAGATTTTTTTAGTGGTTAACTGAAACGGATGATGCAAGCCCTTTTAAGGGCAGGGAGAGAGAAAAGCTTTGTATTTCCTCTGAAAGCCTGTGACACCTTTGCAAGGCAAAACTTGACAT